CGCAGAACAGCCTTGGGTGTTATCCCTTGGGTAATGCACAGCCACTTTCTATTAAAAGGAAGGAGTTAGCTTCTCAAAAAGCAGGAATAGCTCCCACATTTGGTGGACTACATCCTCCTGGTGATATACATGCTATTCTAGTAATCATTTGTCCACCCCCATCTCTGCTGCTGTCAGTGCTGATGATGAGTGCCCAGCACTATGTTGTATGGCTTAGCTAGTACAGAGATTTGAGCTGCTGCTGCCCATCATCTGTTCCTTCTCCTCCTACGAACTTGAAGTGAAGGAGAAAAAGAAACTTCCTGCCAGCATCCATTTTCAGACTTCAGAGGAATGAAATCTGAAAATATCCAAAGCAGATATGATGTTTCTTTCTGCCCCACCCTTTGTCTTCTGTGTCATCTGATCTTAGAAGATTTCCTTTCTGCCACAGCTGGGACCTATTCAGACCTCTCTGGTACTCGGGAGAGGAGAAGGGGAATAAATACATAGTTTCATAAAATGATCTTCCCCTTCTACCCACAAGCTCTATGGCAAGCACTGTCTTAGCGCAAATATTTTTGTAAGACACAATGGAATTTGGAGAAAGTATATTGCCTTAAACCCTGGGGGCCATATCCGTTCCAGTGCTGAAAGGTCAACACAGCAGCACTAGTTCAAGATGTACAAACAACGCAGGCTACTTATATAATGAACTCTATCTCTTCTGACCTTCAAATGCGAACGTAGGCTGTACAGTCATACCAATAAAATCCTCTAGAACTTCAACTATGAAGTTACTGCCTTAACTGGATGTTGTCTTGGACTCATATCCAAGGAGGGGGGGTAGGGAGGGGGGGAGGGAGAAATCGCCTCCTTTCCTACAGTTCCTTGCATATGGTTCCCTGATGGTTGTGTCAATGTTACCCAGAAAGTATCAGCATCTGTAACAGATAATCATCTAAGCACTCCTGAAGAAAGAACGTCAATGCATGAACTATGAGTAGCCCACAAGTCCATGGCCAGAAGGCACATGTAAACCTCTGGCCTTAGTGTTTCCATGGGGGCTCAAGAGAACCGTGCTGCAGACTGCTGGATGTATGGCTTATGGCACTGAACCTAAATAGTATCCAATTCCAGACACTGGAGGATATCGAACCTCTCTTCCCTATAGCCTCTGAAAAGCTCCTGGGTCTGACGCCACCAAAGCAAACATTTTTTTCAGGAAACAGACTCTCTAGTCTTATCTTTTGGCATTCTTGTAAGAAAGAGGATGTAAAGTAGTGTATAACTTGGTGCTCTCCTACTGTATGCATTCCTATATACAGAAGTACTGTAACAAATGCAGAGCAAACATGACACAAGACGACCTCCTCAGCTATGTATACAGAATATTATGACAAATCCATACATATACGTATATGAACAGGACCCAGTTTAATGAGATGAGACATCAATAAAAAGGATAAAATTCTATCTGCATTCAATATTATGTTATATATGTATTAGAATTGTGAAAGGTTTTTTTCATACTCCAAGTTTTGCAGAGGTTACTGGAAACTATCTTATTATTCAGACAACTTCTGACCCAGGTCAGGAACTTCTTCATCTTCAAATGAAAAATATCTTCAGCTAATGTTGAAAGTTTCTATGCAATTCTTTTACTTCTAAAAATAGGAGAAATGTAATAATGGCACTGCTACAAAAGAGAAATAATTATAAAAAAAAAAAAAAAGAGTGCAGATATGCTAATCTTTTAGCCTGTCTGATGGAATGAGAAGAACTCCATTACTGGCATTAGATCCACAAATTAGAATAAAATTAATCAACGCTTGAGCTGAAAAAAGGAGACCATTGTTTTCAATAAGTTATAAAAATAAAATAAAAATGAAAAAAAAAGGCTTAAAACTAAAGTTGTGTGAAATCAGCACTAAGGCTAAAAGGTAAAATGACAACATTTTCTTGTCAGAAAAATTTTAATATAATATTTTCCTCTATTTTTCTATTATTTTAAAAATATAAAAGAAGGGGGAAGTGATAAAAACAACAGATGACAGATGTCTTCTGCCACGTGTCAAGTCAACTTAAATCTATGCTCTAAAATATACTTCAGTCTTGAATACTGACGGCTAAATAGTGACCTGCTGTCATACACATCTCTAGAACAATCATGCCTGAGACATTCTGACAAAACTACTTCCCACATACATGTGCCATCTGAACATATTTGCACCAGTTCAGACTCTGTTGCTAGAACTAAGATCAACAGTATTATAAAAACTGGAAACATCTGCTTAGAAAACATCATCAAGTCCTGTGAAATCAGATGTTGTTCCTCAGCAGTAATTTGACAGTCAGCATCAAATATTTTTAGCTGAGGCCATCTTCAAAATCACAGCTAATACAGCATTTTAGGCATGTATAAGCGTGCACAGAAATGTAAATAAGAAACTATGCTCAAATCATTAAGAGTATTAAAGAATGCCAAATAGCTTTAAAATTTGAACACCCTCAAGTTCTCTGATAGCTTGTCTATTCCTTACAAGTTCACCTTCATTTTTGCATTTGTTTTATTGAAGCCCTGCACTGTTTTGCTCAAAGCTTAAGACAAATAAATATACAAAAGTTGAAATAAACAATGAAATATGCAAGGCCTGGGAGCAATGTTTCACAACAGGCAATTATTATACCACTGAAAGCTATTTTGTTAAATTTTGTTATACAGTAGAGGCGGAGAAGAGGGCTTTACGAAGAACACGCTCCTGGCTAGCCATATTTGCCTTGGTTGTAATCTCTTATACGGGTATAAATGAGACTCACTACCAAAATCTCTCATGAAGGTGCCATAACAAATAATGCTCACAATTCCACAATGGGATATTTCACTCTGTGGAAATCTTACTCTGCTTGCATGAAGTTCTCGCTGTTTCTGATGTTTAAGCATCAAAAAAATCTGATTTTCTAGAACACTCACAGAAGAGAAAAAAAGAAAAAAAGAGAAAGCACAAAACACTTCATAAAGAACCACAGCCAAATGTTTTGTGAATACTGATTTTTGGTTTTTATGTTTTCAGAAAACTATCTGTAGCAGGGTTGTACATCTTACACTTCAGCTCCCTTAAAAATTATCTTCTAAAGGGGATGTTCTCTACTTCTTTTCATAGGTCTTAATGCAAAAACAAAAAAACACTTTTTGTTACCAAGAAATCTGTAAAAATTGCTAAAAGGTGTGCAGATTTCCTGCATACAATGGGCTAAAGACAGACTAACTCCAGGAGTAATGCAAATGAAATTTAAAAAAATATCCAAGGGGTTAATCTGGTGAATAAAAAGTCAGAAGGATAATACATTACTACCATCACTAATGTTAGAGCATATTACCAATGATAGGGCATAATACGGTGCTACATTAGTTAAAAGTATTGTGGGTTAAGAACTAAAACCCAGTAATTCTTAGCATTAGGTTAAAAAATAATAATTCGCATTTAAAAATCACATTTGTCAAGGCTTCCTTTTCTTTCAGCCTCTCCATTTCTGAACTATTAGGTGCTGCAGCTTTTTCCCCAAGCAATTGTATTAGAGAGAACTAGTATGCACTCTCCTTATCTTATAACTCTGCCGAGCCTCCTGTGTGATTTAATTCCACTGCCAGTTCCAAAAGAGTCTTAACAGACTCACAAGACGACTCTGACTCTGCTTGCGGAATGGGTAAGTCAGAACAGACTAGGGAATCCCAAACCCCAAATATAGATTAGCAGACAGGAGATTAGCAAATTCAGACAGGCACTAGTCTCTAAACTGGATTAAAAATACACATACTAGCATGCAAAAATGGAGCCAGAAAGAGCCTTCTGTACAAGCCCCAGCAATTCTGATACTAACAAATTCCATATTATTACTCTGAAATCCTCAGTAAATGTCTGTGTATCAACCCGTGAGTTTTTCCAAACTGATGCTTCATAAAAATCACAATTTGAGTTGCGCAATTTAACAGTGTCAAAAGAGGGTGGTAAAAATCCCACTGGCCTGCCTACTGGCACCCTTAAATTTCTCTCAGTGTTTATACGCCAGCTTTTTCCCATGATCCCAACACAAGAAGGAGGTTCCGAGTGTGCCCTAATGCATAAGGGAACCTGGGTAGGACAACTGTGCACAGAACAGCAGCAAACCATTCCTCTTCTCACAGTCAAGGAGGAAAAGGACAGGGAGACTCCTCCCTCCATTGCTCCATTCCTAGGAGACATGGCAGATCCACAATACCAGAAAATAAACCCCAAAACATTCCTTAAAGTCAAAAGGCCTTCCTTATCTGACGGTTTCACCAGAGACAGGACTCCTGCATCAGTTACAAATCTTGAGCTCCTACTGCCAAACTTAATTTGTCTGTTTTGTATGAAATGTATAAATGATACAGTAACAGTTACTGAAACAGCTGTGAATGAATCACCAGCTACAGTAAACACCATTTAGAAAGCCCTGATCAAAACATCTTGGTAATACTGCAAGTTTTGGGAACTGCAAACACAGAACTAGACTATCCCTAGACTCGCACAATCTGCTGCTCTCTGGATCCTTCAAACGCATCCAGAAAAGCAAGAAAGGAGGGGCAAGACAGATAAAGTGGCAGGGAAAGCAGCTCCTTTCCTTTACCTCCATTTTTCCCTGTTATACAACTCTCTTGTAGCATGAAATTGGAAAGTGATAGCAGATATGTAACCTCTCCTCAAGCTTCTCATATGCAGTCTGGCTTCTCAAAAAGCCTTGCCATCTCACTGTGTGCATGGCATAAAACACTGGCCACTTCCCCCAGTTTTTTGAAGAACAGCCAACAGTTCCTTATGAAAACAAGAGGTGAGATAACATGCACAAACCAACTGTGGACATGACTCAGAAGCCAAAAAAAGCACAAACCTTTCACTACCTTCTTTACTGACTACACTTTATTGGTCATAGCAGCACAAAAATCAAGGAGGAGCCTTGTCATGCTGTTTCAACTGGCTGTCAAATATAGCTTCCAGGACTAATTTCGTTCTGAAGAGTTTCCTTCTGATATTTTGTCCTGCTCTTTTTTTTTTTTAATAGATTACTGCTGTTTTTAATCACTTAAATCAAGTTATTCTTTGCTATTAGACAAAGACTTGGCAACTTACAGAATATATGATGAATCATCTAAATATATACAAATGGATAACATAAGTCAGTTGCCACTGGAGTTACTCTGTTCCCTTAACATGGTTGTGAATTTTGTGACTGTACACTTAACAACAGAATCCACATATGAAATGTTTGCAAACTATCACTGTAATACAAAGTAGCATCTCATTCTATAGGTCCTTAATCCACTTAAATGTCCACAGACTTTATGGCAGGGAAAAAACACAAAGAGCTATCACAGCGGGCAAAACACACTAAGCAAACACAAGCCTATCTAGACTCTTCCTAAGTTTCAAAATAAATTTTACTTCTGTAAAAACAGTTTTTACTTCTTCAGTCCTTCCCACTTAGAAGTTTGAAACTTTCCATCTCTTTAAGCCCATCTGCACATGTATTCTTTTATAGTACATTTGATCTGCAAACAGAGATTTTAATCAGCATTTTTAGCTGTAGACTTACAGTGGGACTAAAATTTGGAAGCACTTAAAAAATACTGATTGTCTAATAATGTCTTCCTGTCTGCCAGCTTTCAATATTGCAAATTTATCTATAGTACTTAGAATTAATTTTTGATTTTGTCATGTAAGTGCTCACGTTTTTTTCAAGGACGTGTACAGAGTACACACACAGGAATACCTTGTACTGCCAGCTACAACATGGCTGAGATAATTTGATGGCACTATGTTTATTCAGCTAGGTCAGGATTTGAAGATACAGAAGTTTAATGGCAAAGCAGCCTGTATGTGGAACAGCTACTGATTACCTAGAGAATAATCTATTTCACTCAGAAGACTAGTACGATCAAAGAAGTGCAAGTCTGTATACAGCAAGGAATAAAAATCTCTGGGGAAAAGGCTACTTTTTGCATGAATTCACAGAAAAACAAGCTATACTTGAATTTAAATCCTGAATTTAGCAGTCATGTCTTCTTTTTTATGAAGTTACTAGTCATTTTCTTGTAGAACATGTTCATTTGCTTGGAGAATGCATACAGTTGCAAAATATTTTAACAACTCCACACTGGCATATACAACTGCTACAAAATGCTCTTATCCTTTTGTGTCCACTATTAACCTCAGGAGCCCTATTTTTCCTTCTTTTCTGGGCTAGCTGCACTATTTTCCCAGAGTGTTATCTGCTTTTCTCTCCACAGAAAGATGGACATGGCATGTGTCATACAGGCAAATTCCTTCTCCTCTTCAGAAATAATACTCTGACCTGCACTACCCTCCAATTAGATAACTGCCTAGGTCAAGTTTGCTGTGTTCAAAAAGCTATCAAGTCCCTGTTCATGATCTGAACATCAAAAGCCTGGCTGCCTTAATATTCGTTAAAGTGTGAAAAACAGCAAAAATATAGCTGTTCTTGTAGCAGATCACTGCGGCTTGCTATCACTGAAAATGACAGTTGAAGCTATGCTCAAACCTCTGCTCCAGCTATTTTTTCTTTTCTTCTTTTGTATGCTGATAAACAACACAAGCAGTATTGTATAGGGTAACCTGCAATTTCAAAAGGGCGGACTTGTTTACTTTCTTCCAGATCTAGAAGCTATTTGAGGGGTACTGTCCAAGGGTATCATCATTTACATGTACTGTGAACTCCACTGAGGGCAATAAGTGGAATTACAACGAGGAAGAGAGAGAGGTCAGAGACTCATACCTCAAAATAAAAGAGACTCTTCTGATGCAAAGGTATGAAACATTTCTCTGTGTGGAATAAGAACACGTATAGCTGAACAACAACAGCTCTATAATGTTCCAAGTCCATCAGTCAGTGCCGTATTAGCTCAGAGAAAATTAACAAGAGACTAAAAGAGTTTTACACCTTCTTAACATATCTACAGGTCGTAAATAATTAATATAAAAGCATCTTCCACAAGCTCCATAATTTTATTAGCATAAATAATTTAGGTAGCACTAAACAAAAAGGCCATGTATATAAAACCCCCACATACACGTACAACAAAATTTCCTGACTTCTACACTCTTTATCTTTCTCTAAACCTAGAAAACACTCTCCTATTATTTCTGTGTGGAAAATAAAACCTGACAGCCCCAATGGCATTCATCCTTTTTTTAATTAGTGTTGTGCTTCTCGGATCAACAGAGAAAAGAACATAATTTTGACTGAGGTAAGAAGTGACAAAGAAGACATGACACTGAAAGCACCTAACTACGACATGTTTATAGAGGGCTTGGAACTATGGAACAAAGTCATAACAAAATGCAGTAGCTGTGAATAAATTCATAAACTGGATACTTAAAAAATCCAAATAAATGGTTTGCAATGAAAATAGCAACTAGGTCTAACAAAAAACAATAATTAGAATTAACTTTTCTAACTTTGTATTCAACTGGAGGTTCAATTCTTTATCTACTGTTTCTCTGGGAACAGAATCACCTACTCACTCAGCCCAGAGGGCATAAGCTCACGTCATGGGCAAGCTGTAGCCCTGTCACTTGTTGGGCAGATGTCCACAAATCCAACTCTATTGCATTAGTAACTTTGGGATAAAGTATCAGAAATTTTGGTGTGGGAAAGACAAAATAAACATAACGATCAGGTTAGCTATCTCAATTTTACATGTGTAACGTAAGTAACTTCTATGAAGCAGAACGGGTTGAAATCTTAGTAAATCATCAGTAAAATAAGTATTAGATTTGTGCACTGGTTTCTTGTTCTCCTCTTCCTGTTGATCTCTGTTTAGCCCATAGATTAGTCTCATCTCTACGCTCCGCGTTCTGCTCAACACTGTCCTATGCTTTGCAAATAACGTTAGGACTCACCTAAATATTGCTTTGCTTCTTCCATTTCATTCTTTTACTGACTCCAGCCCTTTCTGTATAGAAATGTTAGGAAAAGAAGCTTTTCCTGAGGAAGGACTGAAGAACTTTTCTGAAGGATATTTTCTCCTTTCCAAAGGCCTAGTGGTTTCCATTCAATATGATGCTTCAAGGGCCTAGCACTCCATTTGCTGAGTATTCTCAAAGCCCAATTAAGTCTACACGAGCCGGAGTGCAAAGCACAGTGCAAGACGAAGCCCAGAGGGAGGCTGGTTTAAAGATGCCTGACACATTTACAATTTTTCTTTTTTATCAGCTTCCTGTGCATGGACATAAAGTAATAGTAAAAAGACAGAAGAAAAGAACTGACAAAGATAAAATAAGTATCTTCAAGAGCCAGTTTGAGGAAACAGCTTATTCGCATGGATACTGGGATCTCAATAAAATATCATGTTACCCAGAATGATATTTATTAAAGGCGTCTCCCAGAACTTCACGCTTCTCTAGGAATAAAATTTAGGCCTCTTCCATCTCAGTTGAACCAACCTTGCTCAGCAATAATGCCTAACCATCATGCACAGCCTGAACAAGAGAAAAAGGATTCACCATTAAGAACAGGCACACAGTTTCGTGTTCCTGCAAACAGTACTCAAAAGCTGCACATCACTTTCATGATGTTGAGTATTGTTGGTATTTTTTTGGGGTAGAATAAGTTCATTGTTTATGATCTTAAGATATTCACAATCCTAGTGTTAATGGGAAAAACCTGTAATGGAATTGCACCTCATCTCTAATCAGTACCACATAAAAAAAATGTGATTATAATTAGAAACAGATCAAAATCACGAACAGAATCTCACTTTTTGTTGGGTCAGGCACGTTACACCCACATGGCTCTGGCCTATTTCAGAGATTAGCTATGACAGGAGTAACAGAACACCAGATCTAGACTCAGAAGCCTTCAAATACCAAGAAGGCTGAGATTCTGTAGGTCCATTTCTTATAAATGGCTTCATAGGCACTGCTCTGACATTCAGTCCTCTCGGTAGCTACAGATAGCTAAAATGTGGAATAACACATGTAACGTCTGTGACTCAAATAATTTGCCTTTATCCTTCCTGTGTATCCAGATGTAGAATATGAGCATAAAGGGTCAGGGGCAATGATGGTGTTGGAATCTCTGAGCCTAGATCTCTAGTCATTTTTCCAGATCATTCAAAGTGATGGGAACAGAGGGTGTCTAATCTGCATAATATCTGTATTTACCAAATAAACTTTAAGCTTTAAAATCTGAAAAAAGTTAGCATACTCTGTGTGGGCAATGCTTAAAACATGTTGGAGCTGGGACAAAAATATTAGAATACGGTTTGGTAATTAACCATTGATATATAGGACAACAAATACTGGCAGATTTGTGAGATAATTCTAGTTGCTATTCATAATATCATGTTTAGAATCATAGAATCATTTAGGTTGGAAAAGACTTTTAATATCATTGAGTCCAGTTGTAAACCTAACACTGCCTAGTCCACCACTAAACCATGTCCTGAAGTGCCACACCTACATGTCTTTTAAATATCTCCAGGTATGGTGACTCCACCACTTCCCTGGGCAGCCTGTTCCAATGCTTGATAACCCTCCCAGTGCAGAAATTTTTCCTAATACTAAATCTAAACCAACCCTGACACAACTTGAGGCCGTTTCCTCTTGTCCTATCACTTGTTACTTTGGAAAAGAGATTGACACCAACCCCGCTACAATCTCCTTTCAGGTAGTTGTAGAAGGTAATAAGACCTCCCTTCAGTGTCGTCTTCTCCAGGTTAAACAATCCCAGTTCCCTCAGCTTCTCCAGACCCTTCACCAGCTTCATTGCTCTTCTTTAGACACATTCAAGCACCACAATGTCTTTCCTGTAGTGAGGAGTCCAAAACTGAACACAGTATTTGAGGTGTGGTCTCACCATGCATTTTAGTGCATGATGTTTCCTGTGTCTGAGTTCTAGGAAAGATCACCATGTACTTTTACATACAAGCTATACTGATATGTGAATATTACATCTAAAACAAAACTTCAAGGATATAATCTTAAAAATTA